CCCCGCCCGCCTTCCCGCCCCCGGCTCCCGGGCCCGCGCGTGGTTTCTCTCGGTCGTCCCGAGCCCGCCATCGCCTTCCCTTCGTAAGGTTGGGGCGGGGGGGGACGCGGTAAAATGCCATCTCCTCTCCATGTCCTCAATGGGGTGGCGTTGCGGGAGAGGTAGGGCTGGGGGCCACCGGCCCGGGGCCGGCGCGGGAAGGGAGAGGGGTTGATCCCCCGCGGTTTGGGTGTGGATCAGGGGCTCAGGGGGGTTGCTGCCCCCAACCCCATTTCCGGAATCCCCACGCCGTGAAGTCGTAATCCTGTGTCTGTGACACCCTGTCGGTTGCTATGGAGACGACTCTATGCAAAACACTAGCGTTCTCTGAGGGTTGCAGGCGGATGAAGAGGGTGGGTCCGGTGAGCAGGAACCCCGGCTTAGACTTAATCGTGGCTGAAGCTGCTGGCATCTGTTGGAAAAGGATAGACCAGTAGCTGTAGGGAGACGGGGCTGGGCCTCACCCATGAAAGGTCCTCCAGGACAGGGGAGAGGGAGAGGGGAGGGGGCTGGTCCTCTCCCCCTGGCCGGCCTCATCACATGGATGACTCGGCAGAGTAGCTGCTGGGCCAGGGTTTTCGCCTGTGACTCTACTTGAGGGGAATGATAGGGAGATCTTGATATTGTTATTTTGTCGGGGGCTCCAGAGGAGATATGTCCTCCCCAAAGGCTTATGGGATGAGGCTGGGGGAAGAGTTCAGAGAGGATTTATCTCTGTGGACCTCCAATCCAGACAGACAAAACTGACTTCTGGGGTGGGACCCAGGAATCTGCGTGTTAACAAGCACCCAGGGCAGTTCTGTTCACTGAAGTCTGAGAATGACTGATCTAGAAGGGGGGCTGTGGTCTGGGCGTATTCTCTAACATGTTTGCATAATGTGGAGGGCCCTGTGCAGAAACTGCTCCTACCAGCAAAGGTGCAGAGAAAAGATGGACGCGGGGCTTAAAACCTGGTGCTCTGGAGGCAGAGAGCACTTCATGTAAAAGCCACCAAGCTGTTAGAGAGATTTGCACAGAATGGACAACTTTGTCAATTTGCTGTGTTTAAGAACATTGCTGAATTAACTTAAAAATTATTTTTAAAAGAATGAAATTGAGAAAAAAAACTTTCAGAGTTCAGAAAATGTGAAATTTTCATTCACTTGTTTGTGAGACTATTTCTGAGTCCAATAAAGAGGCTCAGCTTAAATGATTTTGTTTCTTTAAAGCTCATATGCAGCCTTGAAGGACCCAACAGAAGTAAAATTGTTATTTAATGGATGTAGGACTAGGGACAGGGTGTAGATTGAAACATCTAAAATTATGTCTGCAGATGCTTAGGTTTACCAAATTCTTAGTCTTCTGTACAAAATAGCTAATTACTTTCAAAACTCTGGTGAGCTTCAATCTACCCCAACTTATGATTTTGAATGGTTCTCCATGAAATAGGGCTGCCTTTATTATGAAATGTTTTGCATCTGCTTGACGTGGGAGCAAACTTAGTGAGAAGATGATGTGAGGGTTTTGTCTTCTGGAAAAACAAGTTACATATATGTGAAAAACCTGGGGTTTTCGTTTGAATTTTTTGCACTGCTGTGTGTATTCAACGTCCTGGTCACAGAAGGAGGGAAACCCCTATGGGGATGGGCGTGTCCTTTCTTAACTTGGGCTTGCAGAGAACGTTCCCAGGATCCTCTAGGACAGGTGTCAACCACCTCCTACTCCTCCTGTGGCCACCCTGGTTCCAGTACAGGCTTCTGGGGGTGAGGGGCTTACATGTCCTTATAACCTCATTTCTCCTTCACACCCCCCCCCCCAGGAAAAAAAAACAAGCACATCACCCGAGTCTGTTACCTATTTGGCTTGTGTGGACACAACCTTGGGAGGGCAGGCAGGCTCCATGACACACAGGTGGAGAAATTCCTGGTCATTACCTTTGCATCTTGTAAAAAGGATGCCGAATACCCAAGCCTTGCTGCTATTAAACTCAGACAGAGCTCAGGAAATGCTGCCCGGATGGGTGAGCCCTTTCAACACCTCTTGGGGTGATTTTTCTCACAGGTTTTCGGGGTTTGTAGAGCTCTGAGGCTCTGGGACCACAGGGTGAGAGCTTGAGCTGCTCAGTGCTCTGCCCCAGTGCAGAGGCCTTGGGCCCCGGCCCTACCTCTAGAGACGAGACTGTGACGTGCTCCAAAGCCGGAGATGCCTGTGAAGGGCTGCCTCTAATTAGCATTTTTTTCCTTCTGAGGTCACTGGACTTCAAGGAAAGCACTTTTTTAGAAATCAAAGAAGTAGTGAAGGAGGGAAAGGCAAAGGCAACTGATGTGTCCTGATGGGAGGTGGAACTTTCAGGAAATATCAATTATCTCTTAATGAAGGGAAATCACTTTTGAATGACCCTGAGTTCTGTGCCCCAAGCCTGGATTCTGACGGAAAAAAAAACGATCTGGACTGGTGACACATTACAGCATTTGGTCATGTGGAAAGAATGATCTTCAGGAAAAATCACACCCTCAGCAGAGGATTTTTTACAGAGGCAGGATGAGCGAGAGCCAGTTCTGACAATATTCCAGCGGCAAGGGAGCTAGGCGGACTTAGTCATCATTGACTTATGTTTCTTCTCTTCCTCCCACATCTACTTGTATAACTCTTTTGGGGAGGGGTGAAGTGATATTAAGAAAAACAACAGCACTTTCAAAAAGGGGAGGAGAAACAAGGGGATAAAGGGTTGGGAAGAGCTCTTGGGTGATGGGGAGATGGCATGGACGTTGTGGGGGGGCATTCCAGAGCCCGACAGGACTGGGTGGTCCCTCCGGCCTGAGATGCTGGGAGAATGAGGAGGGGTTAGAGAGGCTGTAAGAGGTAAAGTTGGCTCATGAAATGCAGCACTCAGCACTTGACGGATACCAGCTTACTGATTAATCATTACAAACACTCCGTAGTCATCAGAAACCCCCGAGGGACTGAGAAAGAGGCACAGAGGTCAAGGTTCAAGAGCAGCACAAATACTCCTTTGGAGCAATCTGGGTGAGAGCAGGGGGGGTCACAGCTTGGTTGGCCCCAGAGGCTTTCTGATCACCTGCAAAATCTGGAAGGCATGCAGGGGTGCAACGTGGGGAGGAGCTGGTGCCAGACTGGCACGTATGGGACCACTGAGCAGGGGCAGGGGACGGGGGCAGGAGGACAAGGGGACGGTGATGGGGACAGCAGCTGCAGGTAGACCAAGCTGCAGGTCATAAGAAACCGACTTATCTATAGAGCTCTCTTTCTATGGTTATCTTGGATGGAATGAATCTACTTGAAAACCAAGATGGTCTTTCAAATTAGTTGAATATGCCCAGCTGGACATGTTTTCTGCTTCTGAGTCACAGGCAGGTCAATATCCAAGTTTTATACCCTGACAGGCTTAAATCTTAGCCCTGTTTTAAACTCCCAAAGAGAGTGTGTGTGTAGGGTACCATAAACCCAGCAGTGTTGCTCCTGCAGTGGCCTCCTGGATCCCTTCCAAAGATGGTAATAATATGGATGGCTGATTTTGATTTTATACTTGCAACAACTACTCTATGAAAGCAGTGTGCTGCTACATCCAGGCTATCAAGACATATTTATTAAGTGTTTTGAGCACTGGGCACTGGTCCTGGAATTCTCCTGTTCATAGGCAAGCGAGGGATGGGGGAGGTGGGGACCAGAATAGCCATTTTGAAGGGTGAGATTTATTGGATCCCACACTGGGCTGCTGAAAGAGGCTACAACTCTTTTAGCTAATTTCCCTCTGGTTGGGAACCAGCCCTTATTATCTATAATGAAGTGTCAGTAAAATATTTGATGTGCCCTCCCAATGCAACTTCCTGGAGGAAAGGACCTATCTGGTTCAACTTTGGATCCTCAGTGCCCAGCATGGTACCTGGACTGAAGTGAGTGCTGGAGAAATATCTGTTGAATGAATGCATGATAGCTGGCTCTGCCTGAGGGCTGGGGATAAATTGGGTGTTTTCTCAATGTCCCCTCCAGGCATCCGGTGGCCCATTTTTAGGTCTCAAGGTCACTGCCAAGAAAGAGAAGCTGCTAAAGTGACACCTCTACTCACCCACATGACTCAAACAAAAGTTAACAGGAGCTCTTAAAAAACAAGCCTCTCAAGTGTCTGTCCCCTATCTTCTCTGAGAGTAGTGTTGAGGCATTAGATAGGGGTTGGGGCCAGGTGACCTGCTGGTCCTTGGGCATCACTGTAGCCCACAGGTCATTTAAGCAGCTCTCTACTCAGCAGACAAGGCAGAAGGAATAGAAGGTACAGCTAAACACTGCATGCAGCCACTGCAGGGGCACTGGAGAACTTGTGAAACTGAAAGGGACATTGTGAAATTAACACATAATGGACCAATGCAGAGATAGGCAAAGTCAGTAGAAAGAAAAAGCATGGTACCTTGGCCGGGGACACCTGCCCTAAGTATTAACTAAAGAAAGCAGGCGACTCTCAGAAAGGGGCTTGTAAGCCAGGATGCCTAGAGGAAGGAAAAGTGCTACAAGTACTTTCAAGCTGGTCCAGGGGAAGCAGGTCTTTCAGACCCACTAACAACGGTCCTTATTTTGCAGATGGTGCTCTGTGATGGCGTAAGGCAGTATGGGGTAATGGTTAGGAGCTGGGTTTGGAAATCACAGTAGGGTGACCGTGGGCAAGTTACTTTACCTTTCTGGCCTCAGTTACATTGCCTATAAAATGGGATACCTATCTTTTTCCTGTAGTACTTGAGAAGATTAAATGATAAAATTTTTGTAAAGTGTTTAGTGCAGCATGTGGCATATAATAAAAGCTCAAAATACTCTCAATGATGAAGATAACAATAATCTGGCTTCTCAGTAGTCATGTGGCAAGCAATAGCCATGCTATTCCTAATAATCTAGTCTGGGTGACAGTTAAACACAGGGGTCAGCAAATCTGGCCCTCTGGATATTTTTATGAATAAAGCTTTATTAGAACACAGCCATGCTCATTTATTTACATATGCTGCAATGATGGAGTTGAGTAGTGGCAATAGAGACCCTATGGTTGGTAAAGCATAATGGTCCTTTACAGAAAAAGAGCTTTTACTCTCTGGCTCTTTACAGAAAAAGTTTGCCAAGCCTATTCTCATTGATTAGTATACAACCAGTATATTGGAGCAGTTAAGGTTACAAAGTCTGGGCTCCGACTCTTGCTCTGTGACTTCGGGCAAGTTATTTACCTACTCTAGACTGTCGTTTTCACAGGTGAAACAGGGGTGATGCACATAGAATTAGGTGTGATAATGTTTGGACCATGCTTAGCACAGTGTCTGATGGCTAGTAAGGACACTGTACAAAGTAGTTACTATTATTAACTATTGAACATCAACTGCTGGAAGGCACAAAGAAACTCCCAGAAGAGGGTCATTGCTGCATGCAGCTCTCTTTAAA